GGTTAGGGTCTGGAACTCACTGCCTCAAGCGGTAATTTCCGCAATTAATCTGGAATCATTCAAGAGGCTTTTGGACGACTTCCTGAGAGACCGAAATGTACAAGGGTACAGGTACTCTTAAGAATGAGAACACTCATGGACCTATACACACACACACACACACACAACAGGTTGGACTTGATGGACTTATGTCTTTATTCAACCTCAAATACTATGTAACTGTGGAGGATGAGTAGGGATGGTAGAGGTGGGATAGACTTTCAGACACAGATGAGTTTTCAGGGGGCAGACAGAGTAGGAGATAGATAGCATAGGAGGACAGATTAAGGTTAGGGAGTTCCAGAGGATGGGAGAAGCTCTAGAGAAGTCCTGGAGATGAGGATGGGAGGAGGTGATTAGGGATGTAGTGAGCAGGAGGTCTTGGGAGGAGCGAAGAGGACGGTTTGGGTGAAATTTTGAGATGAGGTTGGGGATGTAGCTTGGGGCTTTGTATGCTTTCATTAATATTTTGAATTTTATTTGTTGGGTGAGTGGAAACCAGTGGAGGGATTGGAAGAGAGAGACGGGGGATGAAGCCCAGGGGAGGGATTGGCAGAGAAGGGGCAGGGATGGAAGCCAGTGGAGGGATTGGCAGAGAAGAGGCAAGGATGGAAGCCAGTGGAGGGATTGGCAGAGAGGGGTAAGGATGGAAGCCAGTGGAGGGATTGGCAGAGAGGGGCAAGGATGGAAGCCAGTGGTGTTATTGGCAGAGAGAGGCGGGAGATGGAAGCCAGTGGAGGGATTGGCAGAGAGGGGTAAGGATGGAAGCCAGTGGTGTTATTGGAAGAGAGGGTTGGGGATGAAAGCTAGTGAAGGGATTGGCAGAGAAGGGCAAGGATGGAAGCCAGTGGTGTTATTGGCAGAGAGAGGCGGGAGATGGAAGCCAGTGGAGGGATTGGCAGAGATGGGCAGGAGATGGAAGCCAGTGGAGGGATTGGCAGAGTTTTTTTAGGCCAGGGGAGGGGTTAGCGGAGGGGGGGGCAGAGGATGGAAGCCAGTGGAGGGATTGGCAGAGGATGGAAGCCAGTAGAGGGATTGGCAGAAAAGGGTGGGGATGGAAGCCAGTGG